GACATCCTTGTCTTGTTCCTGCCTTTAATGGAAATGCTTTTGAGTTTTTCCCCACTGAACACAGATTGGTTATAAGTTGGTCAAATATACCTTTTGTTATGTTTAGATATGTTCCTTCTTTTCCAAGTTTCTTCAGGATTTTTATCATGGAGGGATGCTGGATTTTGCCAAAAGCCTTTTCATCATCTACTTGATATGTGATTTCTTACCTTGGGTCCATTTATGCAATTTATAATATTTATCGATTGTGTTTATTTAGTCATCCTTGCATCACTAAAACAAAGCCAACTAATCATGGAGAATGATCTTTCTGATGTGTTCCTCTACTATTTTCTAGTTACGTGTGTATGTATGTGCTTATGTATGGATGTATGCATGTGAGTGCAGGTGCCTGTGGAGGTCAGAAGATGGGGTCAGATTCTTTGGCACTGAGTTTACAGGTGTTTCTGAGCTGTCTAACGTGTGCTGGGAAACAAACCAGGGTCTTCTAAAAGGTCCGAACACATTCTTTTTAAAAAAAAATTTTAAATGTATATCTTTAATTGAATCTTTGTAAATTTCAAGCATATTTAGAACTCCCTATCTATGCCCCATAGCCTGCCCATAGGATTTCACACATTCTGTCATATATGTTAAGGCCTATGGAGTCAAGTTTGTGTACCCAGATGTCTCTTGGTATGAGTACATTCACTGGAGCCTGTTCAGTGTATCCAGCATCACTTCCTTTAAAAATACCAACTCTCCCTCACCCAGCAGTGATCAGCTGCCAATAGTTCCTTGGCTATGGTTGGGGGCCTCCTGCCCATTTTCCCAGTTCTATGCTGGTTTTTATCTGATTGAGTTTGCATGGGTCTTATGCATGCTGTCACCATGGCTATAAGTTCATATGAACAAGTTCCCAGAAGCCTGGAAGACTGTTTCCTTATGCTCATGCACTACAATCTTTTCACTGCCTTTTCCACAATGGTCCCTGAGCCCCGGGTGAGTGCAGTTTAATATAGGAGTAATCTCTGATTTATACCTAGTTTTACTAAATTGAGTCACATATGTTTGGTGCATAAATGTTTAGTATTATAATGTCCTTTTGATGGATTGTCCCCTTCATTAATGTGAAACAACCTTCATCTCTTCTGGCTAGTTATGCTTTGAAGTCTATATTGTCTGATACTAAAATAGCAACACCTGCCAGGCATGACAGCACATGCCTTTAGTCCCAGTACTTGGGAAGTGGAGGCAGGCAGATCTCTGTGAGTTTGAAGCCAGCCTAGTAGTCTACTTAGCAAGTTCCAGGACAGCTGGGGCTACAGGGAGTCCCTGTCTCAAAAAGGCCGAAAAAAAAAAATAGCAACACCTGCTTGTTTCCTGGGTCCATCTGCTTAGAACATCTTGTTTCCATTCTTTCACCCCAAGGTAGTCTGTCTTTTATGGTGAGGTGCCTGTGGGGAGACTTCTTGTTACATATTCAATCTTGTTCTGTGTTACTGCTCTGTTAAGTTTTTTTTTAATGCTCTTGATTCTATTTTAGTAGGCCATCTATACACAGAAATCTGACCATTTCTTCCTGACCTTACAGAGTGCCCCTATGGTACTCACACCCAGTCTTGTCAGCAGCATATGGCAAGATGTGGCCATGGCCAGTGCAGAGAACCACGAAGGTTCAGTGGAAGCAAAAGATATAAGATTCCTGTGTACTAATGCTGTGGTGTGCCGGCCTGGGAGAGGAGTTGTGCTCTCCTGGGAAAGGACCACTGTCATAGGCGTGGTGTCCCATGATTCTTTCCATTGTGGTGTCATCCAGGGATTGAGACATCTTACCCCAGGAACAAAAGAGAAGAGAATATGGCTGGCCCTGAGTATCATTTTTCTAGGCACTGTGCCTCAGGGCTCATGAGCAAGCTAGAGCTATGCAGGACTGCTTAAACAGGTCCTAGAACCCCTCTAGGTGGAGCAGAGAATCTCCATTCTCCTGTTAGAGACAGAAGCCCATATGTGGGTCTGGGAGAAGGTTGATAGAACCATTCAGGAAACCACTCTTCATCCTGCTTCCTACTGGAAGCCACATATGACTAGCTGTGCATGTGGTTCCTGAAGGGGTACCCACTTTTTTAAAATAACTGAATACATTTATTTAGCGACAAGCTGTGAGGACCTATAAAAGCAAGCCTGTAAAAGGCACTCAAAAGTCTAACAAGTTTGAAATGTCATCATGAAATATAGCATCGTCATTGCCAGATTCAGCTATAGGATGAAATTTGTCTTAAATAAACTGACACAGCAGTTACACATTCATTACACATTATAGATAGCATTTAGTCCCATGAGATGATGAATACTCATGTTTTTTAATCATGCTTATTAGTGTCGAATAAGCAGCATCAGCCAATTTATTTTTGTCATATGTTAATATTCTAGCCCTTATTTATACTTTTTTTCTTTTTATTTATTTATTTATTTTAGAAGAAGCATTTCATTACAGCTTTAACATATTCAATAACAATTTCCAGAGCAAAGATACATCTCTTTCAAAAGTGGCTATAGCCAGGCATGGTGGCACACACCTGTAGACCCAGTACTTGGTAGGCAGAGGCAGGCGGATCTCTTTGAGTTCAAGGCCAGCTTGGTCAACATAGTGAGTTACAGGACAGCTGGGGCTACAGGGAGACCCTGTCTCAAAAAAAAGTGGCTATAAAATTTTTAGGTTCACAGTTGAATTAATACAGTTATGCAATATTGAACTCAGTATAAACCCTGTGAGACATAAATTAGAATGAGTTTTTAACCTTTAACCCACTTTCTACCTCAGCATTGTGGCACCACTTACCCAGCATGTTGAATTCCCAGGGCATTTGTATAAGAGTCACTCCTGGATACTTTGGCTTATAACACAGCCACCTGCTGAGCCAGTACAGTAGAATGTCTGTGGGGTCCCAGACATGGGGCTGTGCAGGGACTCTGACCCAAGAGCAGTCTAAATTCAGACAATAGCTTTCTTCTCAAGATGGTTCCTGGCCACAGCACCCTAGAGGCTCTCTGGGGATGAAGTGAATTCCTTACCCCTGGCTCTTTGATAGAGGAGCCTAGTAGTTGGTGAAAATATTGTTTCGCTTGCTATGTTCCTACTGGTTCTATGAATTTTACAAGGTTTCCATTTTTTCTACTCTTGAATCCAATGCTCTGTGGTCACTCAGCTCAGGATGTAGCTATAGACCTGTTTGGCTGCCTTTCTCTGTAAGAGCAGGTGAGTGATAGATACCTCAATACATCATCTTGCTTATCCTCTGTGCTCTTAAGGATTTTCTGTCTTTTTTTAAAAAGAAGAGAGTATCTATTATATAATGATAGTATATCAGGTTAATCCACCCTTTTTGATGGTTATGGTTGTTAGAAACAGGGGTCTCACACATGACAAGAAACATTGTCGTTCATGTTAAAATGAAAATGAATCCAATGAGTTGAATGATTGTGGGGGAGGGTGGTTGTGTTTCATTTGGAGGCCATCCTTCTGCCTTGGCCCCCCAAGTGCTGGTATTACAGGCTTTAGTCACCACACCAGGCTGAGAGAGCTATACTGAAAGTGAAACATGACCTCACTCTCATGAGACCTAGAACCAGAACAGAAGATTAGAGATTACAAAACCTGGGTTTAGCCACTAAATTTTGGGATGATTTGTTAGCTGGTAAATATGCTATAACAGACAGCCTTTCAAAGAAATCAAAGTAGAAGTTATATTTGAGGCAAAAAGAGATTGACTCAAAGGGGAGATTATATTTGTATGCGATGGAGGGGTTTTTATTAGATCCCATGCCAAAGGAGTTGGGGGCAAGGCTAGAGAGATGGCTCAGCAGTGAAGAGTACTTAAGCTCCTCCAGAGGATAAAGTTCAGTTCCCAGCATCTATATCTACTGACTTATACTGTCTGTAATACCAGCTCCAGGGGATCTGATGCCCTCTTCTGGCCTCTGTGGGCACCTGCACACACTATATATAAATACATATACACACACAAACATGCACACACCTGAATAAAACCTAAAAGTAAATCTTTTTTTTAAATGGAGTTAGGGCTTAATTTGTAGTTATCTTTAATATTTTACTAAATTAACATTTATGTTTATGCTGTTCTGTTTTCTGTGTGATAAACTTCAAAGTTTAAAAAGGCTAAAGGAAAGTCTGCAAGAGAAGCTACTACTTCTGCCTTATTTGCAATGTAGAAGAGTTGATGATGGAATAACAGTTTTCCTGACATTGATACATTTTGAGGTTTCATCTGTTATAAAATTTAATACTAGCCCAAAAGAAGCCATGATTGTAACTTGCTGGATGTTGCACTGTTGGAAAAGACAGAACCAATTTGAGTGCAGGGAGTCTGAACATTCTTTTTTAAAAGGTTTTCAATTACATTTATGTATTTTATTTGTGTGTGTGTGTTTGTGTAGGTGTGTAGTTGTATTAGCACACACATGGGAGAGTACACATGTGCAGGTCAAAGGACTACTTGTGGGAGTTGGTTTTCTCCAAACACCATGTGGGTCTCAAGGATAAAACTCAAATACTCAGGCTTGTTGGCAAATGCCCTTACCCACTGAGTCATTTTGCCATCCTTACTCTTTATGTTTTATGTAGTGAGTTCCTGCCTCTGAGGACAATGCATGGTTCCTATTTTCATGTTCACTCCCTCCAAATAATCTAGATGTTCATATTTTATTGGCTTTTTATTTTTATATTTTGAAATAGGGTCTTGTGATGTAGCCCTGTTTAACTTGCAACTTGATAATGTAGACCAGGCTGGCGTCAAGCATACAGTGATCCTCCTGTGGCCTCCCTTTACTGGGATGACAGGCATACACCTCCATGCCTGGTTAGAGATGTTTAGAAGTTTTATGTCTTTTTCTCATAAGCAAGAAATGGGTCCAATTTGGAAAGGCTTCCCAATAAAGCTGGTGGAATGAACACAGTGGATATGCAGATTCTTGAACGCAGTGCCACTCTTGCTCCCTAGCACATTAAGACCTGGTCAAGCCCAGTTCAGCAAAGCATCATTACCAGCCTGGCTATCCTCCCTGAGATGAAGCTCGCCATTACTGGAGACTTGGAAAGAGCCATCAAAGTGTGGAACTGTCATGATAGGGATGCTGTAGCCATTCGTACCATGCCCCGTGACTATTGTACTTTGAAGGCTTTTCTTACAAAGGATGGTGCATTCCTGATGGTAAGTGACCCCCAAATCTGTAGTAGGTGCACAGAGCAAAATTCCTACTGGCTAGGCATCCCTTTACTGTACATATCAATCTGTCATCTTGTAGATATCTTTTTCTTACCTGACAGTCAGTCACAAATGTACCAATCAATGTTGGCCATAGAAAATTCCAAACCATCTTGACTTTTGACCTACTTCACATATATTTCCCTATTCTGCTAAAAAAAAAAAAGTAAAGCTTTTAGAAACTAGGGAAATGACTCAGTGGGTAAGAGTTCTTGCTGTACAAACCTGAGGAACTGAGTTCCAATCCCTAGCGGTCACTTAAAAAATGGTAGGTGACTATAGTTGCATGTGCTTGTAGGGGGCCAAGACAAAGGATCTAGTGGGCTTGCTGACATCCAGCGTAGTTCCAGATCAAATGAGAGACTGTGCCTCAAGGTAATAATGTAGAAAATACAGGGCCAGCACCTGACATCCTCCTCTGCCCTCCATGTGTGCATAGACATGTACACCTGCATACATATATTTGAATATGCTACACAGATGCAACGCATACAAACTTTTCAGAATTATTTTGTGTCTGTGCTGCACCTTCCAAATGGTTTTTGTAGTGTTCAGTCCATGAACTTGGACAGGGACAATGGAGAGAAAAAAGTGAATTTTTTGAGATATTGAAAAAACAGAATAATATTGATGCTCTAGTGAGCCATTCAGAAAAGTGTTCTGGGGCTTAGAAAATCCTTCTTAAAAAGATTTATCTTTAATTATTTGTATATGTGTGTCTATATTGGTACATACACACACATATGTGTAGGTATCCATGGAGTCCAGAAGCTGGAGTAACAGGCTTTTGTGCAAACCTGATGAAGGTGCTAGGAAGCAAACCCGGGTCCTTTTGAAGAGACTACAAGTTCTTAACCACTGAACCATCTCTCCAACCCTGGAAATTCTTATTCCATAAGATTATCCCAACCATCTTTGAGGCAGACTGCTCAGAGATTTGAATCTCCATCATGAGATTGAATAAATGGTAGATTATCTCAGAGCTGATAGTTCTTCCTTCTTTCTACTTTAGGATTTCATGAGTTTTCCTACTGATAGGTGCTGATGTTTTGATTTCAGGTGGGCGATTCTGCAGGTCACATCTATACATTCATGCTGCCCCAGTTATGGTGTGTTTCTGTAGTCAAATCATTTGAATGTGCTGTTCAACTCCTACAGTGTTCTCCTGAGAATAAATGGGTCTTTGCATGTAAGATGCATCCACATGTCTTCCCGAAGGTAGGTGCTGTTCTGGGAACTTCAACTTCAGGATGGGAGGGTCAAGCGAGGAAGAGTCAGAGGAGCTCCAGATCTCAAGGAGGCCCAGGCATCCTGTTTCCAGTCCTCTAAGGCTCTATCATAAGCAGAAGCCCTTCCTAGAGACAGGATACAATGCTCTTAGAAGCATACATGTCCAGTCACAATGGCAAATGTTTATTAATGTGAGTGAAGCCTGGCTCAACCAGAGGATGAAGGAAGGTGAGAGAGTTAGCAAGAAGGGAGGATCCCTGGAATCTTTCTTCACTTTTGATTTCCTAGTTCTCCTCTATTTTTACTAGAAAGTAGAGAAACATCCAGAAGTGAATGAATATGCATCAGCTCTGAGGAAGTTCTTGACCTCTGAGTAGTTCATCTACCTCATGGTACCTATGGACTATGCACCAGAGAACAAAGCGTTAAGAGGGAAGGTAGTAAAACAGTGCTGGATGTGGTGGCACAGGTCTGTAATCCTAGCAGAGGAGGGTGGATTTCAGGGTTGAGGAGTGGGGAGTCTAGTGGCAGGAAGATTGTTGTGCATTCAAGGCTAGCCTGGGGTACACAGTAGACCCTGTCTCAATGCCTCATCATTTAACAAAATAAAAAATTTCAAAAACAATAAAATAACTGAAAAACAACCCTTTGACTTGTTCTCTAAGAGAAATTCTATTTAATCAGTCTTGGTCTGAGGAGTCCCATGAGGTAGGATGACCCTGTAACCCTGTGGTCTGAGTCAGGAACTCCATTCTGTCTGTGAATATGACAGGGACAGGAACACTATGACTTACACACTGAGTAGAAGCAGTGACTGCTCAGTCCTCCCTGAGATGAAGAACAGATCCAGCTACACAAGGATTCATTCCCAAGGCTTGCCTGGAGTCACTCATGTCCCAAGCTGCTGTAGTGTCCGTCTTCACCAACTCCCCATATGATCATCTCTCCGCAGGTGTTTTTAACAGAGTGTTTACTGAATTCATCGAAGAACTGCTCTCTTCTATATATCTGTCTTCCCTTTGCACCATTCCACAAAGTCTGCTGGACCCCAAGGATGGAAAATAGGGTAACAATAATGTACTGGAGAAACTCCCACAACACCATGGAATTTATCACATTTGATCTAGGACTAGAGAAGATCGGGGGCAAAGATGCTATCGAAGGTAGGCCTCCCCACCTTAGAAACACTTCTCAAGCCAGGCACGGTGGTGCAGCCCCATAACTACAACCATCTGGAGGCCAAGGCAAGATCATAAGTTCAAAACCAACCTGAGTTGCTTAGCATTACTCTTTTCTCTAAAATCCCAAACAATGGTTCTGGTGAGATGACTCACTGTGCACACACACACACACACACACACACACACACACACACACACACAATAATAATAATAATAATAAAGTTTTTTTAAAAAAAGACAAACAATAAAGAACTCTGTTTTAGGCCCAGCAAGATGGCACAGCATGTAGAGCCACTTGCAGCCAAGCCTGATAGAAGGCAAGAACCAACTTTTGCCAGCAAAATACACAGCAAAAAAAGAAAAACAAATTATAAAAAGAAACACTGGCTTTCTATCCCACAGACAGTTGCATTAAACCATAAATGCATTTAAATATGCCAGTTTTGTAAAGGGAGCAGAGCAGTTCCTTAGCTGCATGTGAACCTGTGCCTGTTTGATGCTCATACTCAAGTGATCACTATACTCCACCTGGCTCCCCTGGGCAGATATTTCAGTTCCATCATGTGCAGGGCCCATGTTCCAATGTCCTTTCCCAGTATAGGCATCATTCCAATATTTGAGTTGTTATTGATGGTCCACAGTGTTCCTGTGTCATAGCATACCTTACCATGGTCAATGACATGGATTTGTCAGAGCCCTGGACTGTCTTCATTTTCCCACTGATTGGAGTCCTGTGGAAGTCTAGAGTATGTATTCATGCAATGTTGAGGATGTTGTTCTGACTAAATGATTTTTAAATGGCCTGCATATTTATGTCTACATGTTTTGTATGACTACAGCAGATCAGATTGCAAACTTCCTGTTGCCAGCTCATATAGGCACCCCAGAGTCGATGGGGGTCAGTGATGGAAATGTGATCGTCTTTGGGAGTGGGCCATCTCTGTTCCTCTACACTATTGATGGCCTCCAGCTGCATCGATTTGAGGACCATCAGAGAAACATCATGACCTTGTGGGTGGTATGTGGGATGCTTCCCTTTCTCCTGTGGGTTTTGTTTTTTTTTTTTTACGATGTTGAAAATTTTTGTTATTGCTTATGGGTACATGTTGCACGTGTGGAAGCCAGAGGACATGCTCTGGAGTTGGTTCTTTCCTTCTACTTTTACATGGGTTCTAGGAATCTAGCTAGGTCCTCAGGCATGCACAGCAAGTGCCTTTAATCTTGTCCCTGTGGGGGGCTTTATTGAATTTTTGTGGATTTGCTATGATACATTTTAATCATGTTTAGCCCCCCTTTCCCTGTCTGCACCACCCCCATACCCCACCCACAGGACTTCATGCACTTTGCCATATATGTTAAGGCCTAGTGAGTCAAGTTTATGTACCCAGATGTCTTTCAGTGTGAGTTCATCCACTGGAACCTGTTTAGCCTGTCTAGTGTCGCTCCCTCAAAGAAGATCAACTCTCCCTCTCCCAATACTGATCAGCTGCCAATAGTTCCTCGCCAAAGCTGCAGCCTCCTGCCCATTTCCTCAGTTCTATGCTAGTTTTTGCCTGATTGACTTTGACCCCTGTCCACTCACATCTTGGTGTCTTTTGAAGGATTCTATTCGTGTCCTTTCCACATCTGAGGATGGTTCCCTGCATGTGTACATGTGGGAGGAAGGAGGCTGTCACCTCAAGAGCTGCTGTCATCTAGAACACATGGGGAGGAGTCTGTCGTCACTCTAGTAAGCCCTGTTTGTGACTTAAACTTTAATTACTTTTATTTCTACATAAAAGTGAATAAAGAATATAATCTCTTTGAGATACTCTATGGACATATGTAAATAAATATGATCCCACGCACCATAAAACCAGGTATGGTGGTGCATGCCTCTAATCCTAGCACTTAAGAGGCAGAAGCAGGAAAATCAGGACTTCAAGTTCATCCTCAGTTACATATTGAATAGAGAATAACCTGAGATATAAGATTCCTTGTCTTGGAAAGAAATGAAAGAAAAGAAAAAAAAAGAGAAAAAAAGACAAAAACAAGCAAGAAACCCCACACACTAGCTGTTCCTAGAAGCACTGTCAGGGATGACCTGATGCTGGAAACTATGAACTGTCCAAACATCAAGGATCATTCAAGGGCCATTGAGATAGCTCAACATGTAAGGGTGCTTCCTGCTAAACCTAACAACCTGGGTTTGAATGCTAGGACCCACATGGTGGAAGGAGAGAACTGACTCCCACCAATTGTCCTCTGACCGCTTCAGTCAGACCACAGCACACATGCATGCAGTTGGGCACACACAGACACACACATATCACACACATAAACTAAATAAATGTAAGAAAGAAATTTTTTAAAATGTAGTCTGCATGGTGGTGCATGCCTTTAGTCCCAGCAATCAGGAGGCAGAGGCAGGAAGATCTCTGAGTCTGAGGCCAGCCTGATCTACATAGGAATATCAGACCAGCCAGAGCTACATAGTGAGAACCTGTCTCAAAAAGAAAAGAACATTTAAATTATTATGATATATCCAAACAGTGTAATATTGTACAGCTTTTATTAATAAAAATGGAAAAATCTATCTTAGGATAAGTTATTTCTGATTTTTTGAGGCCAAAAAATATCTATTATTACAATAGGTAAACTTTCCTGAATTTTGCTGTCTTTATTCTACCTAATAATAAAAAATAAATTTCAACCACTTTCCTTCCCTATACTTCACAACTTTGAGTCTTTTCTCCTTCAGAATACTTTTTTGTTTGAGACAGGGTCTCCCTGTAGCCCCACCTGGCCTGGAACTCACTATGTAGACCAGACTGGCCGTGAGCTCACAGAGATCCACCTGCCTCTGCCTCCCAAGTGCTGGGACTACAGGCATGCGCCACCACGCCCAGCCAGAATACTTTTTAAAGATATTTTAATTTTAATTATGTATATGTGTGTGTGTCCATGTTTGTATGTGCACATGTCCCAGTGCCCTCAGGCGTGATGAAGGCATTTCATCACCCAGAGCTGGAGTTACAAGCCCCCTGGCATATTGCACTCCTAAACTCTGCATTCAGCCAAGTTCAAACAGCACATGATAACTTAAAGTAGAATTTATATTGCATGTATGATTTGAGAATATTTTTCTGCTGGTTATGAGAGTACATGCTATAATCCCAGCATTTGGGAGACAGGGCCAGAAGAATTACCTTGATTTGTGGCTAGCCAGGACTACACATTGAGTTCAAAGATAGCCTGGACTATATAGCAAAACCTTATGTCAGAACATTTTTTTCCGATCTGTGGGGTTTCTCTTCATTCTGTCACCTGTTCCCTTTGCTGTGAAAAGCCTTTGTGGTTTGATGCATTTACATTTTTCAACTTTAGCTTTTGTTGTCTGTGATTGTGAGATTTTTATCTAAGAGATATTTTACCCTTAGGTTTTCTTTTCATCCATTTCCAGATTCAGGTCTAATCTGTCTTTAATCTATTTGCAGTTGAATATTGTATAAGGGATGAGATAAGGGTGCAGTTTCATTCTTCTGCAAGTGGATATCCAGTTTTCCCAACACCATTTATTGGACAGACAATTCCTTTCCTGTAGTGTCTTTTTGGAGGCCTTGCCAAAAATGTGTAGATTGTTTCTGGTTCTGATACATCTGTGTTTATGCCAATGCCATTCTATTTGGTCACAATAGCTTGTGATGTATTTGAAATTCTAGTATTGTGCTATCTCCACTTTTGTTATTTTTTCTCAAGACAACTTTGGCTATTTGAGGTTCTCTCTCTCTCTCTCTCTCTCTCTCTCTCTCTCTCTCTCGTGTGTTTCTTGTTTCTTTGTTTTGTTTTGCTTTTGTTTTAGACATGCTTTCATGTAGCTCAGAGTAGGCTGAAACTCCTGGTCCTCCTGCCTGTGCCTCTCAGTCACTCCCAGTCTTTTATTTGGTATTAACTTCTTTTTTCTTCTGCATTTGAAAAATGCTCTATCTCTTCCTTCTTCATCTGTGACAACTGCTGAGATATCCATTCCATTCAGATCTTTGTGTTCTATAGATGAGGCCCAGTTTCCCTTGGATTTCAAGTTATTTTCTTAGTTCAGTTTTCAGAAATTTGATTATGGTGTACCTAGTGTGAAATTTTTGAGTTTAGTCTGTTTGGGCTTGATCAGCTTTTGAATCTGTAGATTTACCAATTGGGGAAGATTTGTCTTGTGCTGGAGATTGAATTCAGGTCTTACACATGTAGAGTACAAACTCTCCCAATGAACCCCACCCCAGCCTTCAGGGAGTGTCTGCTGGGGAAAGGTCAGTGTCATTTCTACTCTCTTTAGTACGAAGGAGGAGATGGGGAGAGGGCTCCATCTGAGGGTGTGCAGGGTCAGGTGAGGAGCAGGGATGTACTGACTTGGATTAGTACAAGGCAAGAGGGTAGAAGTACCGCCTCGTTAATACAGAATGAGAATGATTGACAGGAGTATGGCCCACCTTCCCCATATCACCTCCTGGGCAGAGGGGCATGGCTTCTTTAGCTATATTTCTTTTGAGTAGAGGAAGAATAGTGATCCAGGAGTGGAATTCTACTTTAAAACAAATATATAGGGGCTGGAGAGATGGCTCAGTGGTTAAGAGCACTGACTGCTCTTGCAGAGGACCCGGGTTCGATTCCCAGCACCCACATGGTGGCTACGAACTGTCCTTAACTCCAGTTCCAGGGGAATCCAACACCCTCTTCTGACCTCTGCAGCATTGCTTGACACAGGTGCACTCACATACATGCAGGCAATATACTTATACATATAAAATGAAAATAATAAAAATATATTTAATAAAACAAATATATAAATCTTCTGGGTTTTGTTTTTGTTATTTTTGAGACAGGACCTCAATATGTAGCCTAGGCTAACCTCAAATTATATCAAATTCATGACAATTCTGACTCAGCAGGTTGTCTTCTGACTTCCACAAGCATGGTGTGCATGTACACACACACGCACACACACACAATAAATATGTGCCAATTGTTTTACTAATAGGGCTGGGAAGATAGCTCAACCATTAAAGAGCATTTACTACTCTTGCAGAAGACCTGGGTTTGGTTCCCAGCACCTACATAGAAACTAAGAGGCCTCAGTAATTCCAGTTCCAGGGGTTCCAGTGCCCTCTTCTGGCCTCCATGGGTGTTGTACTCACATGGTACACTTACATACATGTAGGCAAAGTATTCATACATATAAAATTAAATTAATCCATGGCCAGGTGTGGTGGCACACACCTTTAATCCCAGCACTTGGGAAGCAGAGGCAGGCAGATCTCTGAGTTTGAGGCCAGCCTGGTCTACATAGTGAGTTCCAGGTCAGCTGGCACTATAGGGAGACCCCATTCAAAAAGACAAAAATTAATTATTAATTAATCAAAAAATTTAAAAAACAAATTTAGAGTAGACCAACTTGGAAGAATTTTATATTTTTGTCAAGTTCTAATTTGACATCCATGGATACACCTCCTTTCCCATTTGTCCACCAATTTTGTTTTTTCTCTTGGCAGCCATGTCTCCAACACAACCTGTGATAATGTGAGCATAGTGCGTGTGATATCCAGGGCTGATGCCAGCATACTGCAAATATATACTTTGAATATGTATATGCTTGAAAACTAACTGAATTGACTATGTGTGCTCTCTTCCTTGATATAATAAAGAAACGTCTATCTGCAATGATTATTTTAGTGTTATTCTGATGTGATAGGTGGTTGGTTGTGATGGCACATGTCTTTAATCATAACACTGGGGAGGTAGAGGCAAAGGAATTTCTGTCAGTTTCCAGCCAGCCTGGTCTACACAGTGAGTTTTGGACAGCTAAGGATACATAATGTGACTCTGTATTTTAAGAAAATAGAATCTTGGGGCTGGAGAGATGGTTCAGTGGTTAAGAGCACTGGATGCTCTTCCAGACAACCCAGCTTCAGTTCCCAGCTCACACATGGTGACAAACAACCATCCATAACTCCAGTTCCAGGGGATCCAATGCCCTTTTCTGACCTCCAGGGGCAGTGCACTTACACACATGCAGGCAATACACTCATACACATAAAATTTTAAAAATAGGATCTTAATGCATTCTTATCTAGAGTACCTTGTTTGTGGTGTAAAAATACTCTGGGATTTGGAACCAAAGCAGACATACAAAATGCATCCTTATTCAATAATAGCAATGGGTTAATGGGTGTCCCCTTTTAAAAGACACATCCATGTCCAAATCCCTAGAAATTGCTTACTATAGAGCAAAAAGTAAATGCTCCTAATTTGGCAACTAGGTGGAACCAGAGAGTTGACTCAGTGACTAAGAATGCAGATTATTCTTGCAGAGGACCTGGATTCTATTCCAAACACACACATGAGACACCTGTAACTCCAGCTTCAGGGAGGTTGCCTGACCTCTGTGGGTACCTGTACTCATGTTCACATACATACATACACATAATTTAAATTTTTAAAAATCAAACACAAGTGACTAGGTTATGGATCTCAAGATCCAGAGTTCATCTTAGTTCTCCAGATGTGCCATAGAAACGACCACAAATGTCCTTATAAGACACTCAAGGGGAATGTGCATACAGATATGCACGTGATGGACAGGGACAGAGATGGTGTGATGCTGCCTCCAGTCCAGGCATACTGGGGCTGCCACTAGGAGCTCGCAGAGGCCAGGAGCAGATTCTCCCCTGAGCCCTGGAGAGACTACAGCCCTGCCGATTTCAGACATGTGATCTCCAGACCTGGGAGAGAACACATTTCTACTGCTCATACCACCTCGTGTATGGTCATCTGTTAAGCTTCCTCAGGAAACGAGTGAGGTAACTATCTGTCATCTAGCCTTTCCTTTGGGATATCACAGACTCAGAACATGGTTTTCAATCATCTCTCCACTGCTTACTTGATGGTCATTTTGTCACATGGCCCTTTAATGGAACCAACTGATTTCAGTACAATCAATAGAAGTATTGATTTGAATGTAGTTTCTCCACACAGGTTACTTACCATCATGCAAGCAATACACACATACACATAAAATAAAAATAATAAATAAAAATAAAATAATAAATATAGTTTCTCCCAAAATTTAGCCCTTGCTTCAATTAAAGGAAAAAGTAGAAACATTTTATGACCATACAAAATTTCTCCCAAAAACAACTAAAGAAAGCCAGGTATGGAGGTGCATGCCTATAATCCCAACACTCATGTGGTTGAGGCAGGAGAATTTTAAGTTTGAGGCCAACCTGGGCTACACAGTAAATTCTAGGCCAGCCTGGGTTACAGGATGATACCTTGTCTCAATCAACCACAAAATCCCCCTAAACAATTACACGTTGTCAAAATGATCCATATTTAAGGGGTTTGGGCTGACAGTGCCTCGTGCTTATTAGAATGACTGATAACAAGTACTCCCTGCCTCTGAACATCATCAGTTCCTCAGAGAAAGAGGCCAGGGACGTCCTCTGGCTCAGCAAACATTTCTAAAGAAAATTTGATTAAACTACAGGAGGAGGAACTCAGCTCTCCCTAGAACTTTTTCCATTGGCTGCTTCCTGTCTTCAGTCTGTTCTAGCTTCTCTGGGCTTTTCACATCCTAACCTTCAATTCTGTGGTAGCAAAGTCAATGTGGGTCTGTGCAGTCCTGATACTAAAACTATTTTGCAATCTGAATCTGTAGAGAGCTTAGTTTAAGAAGTGTGTGTCTGAGTCTTGAGTATCTGTCCTCTATGTGTATATTGTGTATATATGCATGCATGCACTCTAGTTTAGCACTAGATTCTCTGGGCTATGAATCATTTGCTTAAAGAAGAAACAAAAGCAGTTTTCAAGGGTTAGGAAGACAAGCTTGACTCCATGGATGCTGTGGAAGCTGAATTTGGGGTCAGGAATGGAGGGTGGAAAAAAGTCAGGAGACAAGCCATGGAGCTGCTGGCAAATGAGACATGCTGTATTTTCTCCAGGTGAGGGCACATAGGCTGCTGGGCAGGGGGACCCCAGGCAAGAGCACAAGTGGATTCAGTCACCAAAACATGTTTTTTATTGAAAAAAATGTGTTAACATTGCTTTTGTTAAGACACAGTGCCAGACAGGAGAAATTTCCCTTCAAATTGTTGGTCAGATAGTCCAAGAGTCTCCTAAAATAACACAGGCTATTGCCACAGCCCTTCATTACCTTCTAGAACTTGAAGGTAAGACCCTATTGCTGAAGATAGGGCATACTTCAGACACAGAACTTGGAGCAATGGAGCTGGAACTGACCTGGAAGCCTCCCTGGAGACTAGTAAGTAGTTCTAGAGGATACTATACAAGCAGCTAAGGAAGAAAATTAATAGTCCAACTCCAGCTTTAAAGTCTAATAACCACAACAATGACCAGCACAACAAACTAGAGTGGTGCAGCAGTGGCACTTTTATCTCGGGGAAATCAACAACTACCTAATTGAACTTAAAGTCCTCTCAATGGGAAGGAACTCATTCATGGG